CGCACCGGTACAGGAGGCAGTGCTGTTAGTGTGGCCTCCTCGTCCTTTGCCTGCGTGCAGAGGAGCAGTAACCCAGCTAACCAATAGATGGTGTAGCATCCCAGGTTACAGTTGCCAACGCGGCGCCCACCACGCACCCACCTTATAAACGAAATTAAGATAGGGATAGTTCGAATTACGTTTCGGACAAAATACGCTAATATAAAGTTCAAAAGCTCACAGTTTGCACGATGTTGATACACAGATGTACGGCAACATATTGAGGTATTGTTTTGTGCGTTTCATGTAGCGCTTGTCTCTCTACAGATGTGAATGTGTAGCGCTTGTCTCTCTACGGATGCTAATTATCAACTCGACGAAACGCTAGTGCAGACGATACTCTATGTAAAGGACCTCACCATCGGAAAAACCAAACACTTTTCACTGGAATGGGAAAATGTACGTGGTCATGTGGTATTCATGTGCGTGCGTTTCATCATGATCTATGAATATTTCCAATTGATCATCGATAGTTTAGATAAGGTCCTCGACAGTTTAGGATTCTTTTTACAATAATAGCGTAAACTTTACATAAATAGTAGTATAATAGCGTAAGACAATCAAATTAAGAGGAAATTGCAATAAGTTCCGAATCCAGTGAAATTACAATATTGGGCTCCGAGTATTCGATGTTTATACAACTAGTTTTTCAGTTCTTGGATCAAAGTTAGACATTATTATTTTGCAAGCAACGAAACTCGAATTGGACATATTAGCAGAATTCTCGTAAGTTAATACGTACAGTGATCATTTGTAAATATAATAACATTGCGATGTGTAGATAATTTCAACTTTCCGAGTTAAGTAAGTAGTTATTGTACAATTATTGTATTGTAATAACCCGAGAACTAATGCGGCGATACAGAAATCCACAGATGTGAACTGAATCATCAATATCAGTCACGTCATCCACACATGTTTCAGTGAGCCAGCGCTAAGATTCAGCCTGGCATTGAGTGACGACGAGAAGGCATTCCTGAAAGCACGGAAGCAGCGAGTGTTTCACAGCATGCAGCGGATACTGGGCGACCGCGGACCACGCAACCTAGACGAGGTCTGGTCCGAGACCTAACAGCTAATGAGTTTACACCTCATAGAAGAGAAAACCTATCACCTCACCTAATGTGCATAATGCAAATTATTGCACTCTAGTGCCGAATTTCGGCGAAAAAAAATGCCAAAAAAGGCTTTTCCTAGAGACGAAATAGTGCAACGGTGAACAATTTGCAGAGGCTTACTCAAGTTACTGTTGTATGCCTCCTAGAGACTGCCTAATAGTGTCTATATATACGACTCTGACCATAGAAATAATTATAGATAACCTAAATAATATATATAAGTTATCTATATTATTTCTATGGCTCTGACAATAAGCTGAGAACAGAATATAACGTGCATGACATACACTGACACATCGTGACACATTGTAAAGTAAGAGTACACTGTATAGACACATATAGACACTGTATCTTTCTCCAACCTCTCCCTCTCTCTCTCCTCTCTCAGGCACCACACCCATGTGCTGTGCAGACTGGCAGGAAAACAACCAAACACACCTAAGTTTCATAAATAAGTATTTATATGGCAATAACCCACTAATACATGTAATATACGTCACATATGCTGTACGCTACAGTACGTACATAAGATCATTTGCTGATATAACGTATGAGACTATTACCGTTACAAACTGTAAGACGATTATTGGTTTTCTGCTATCCCGTCCGTATGATTGCTGGAAAATCAATCATTTATTCATTCATTTATCTGCATGATAACCCATTAGACACAATAGCCATATGTTACACTCATTAATTATAGGTCTGATAAAATTAATGTGAAATATCTGATAGTTCTGTGAAATATCAAATCCCACCAGCTAGTGAATGCTAGATGTAGTCATATATACAATTACCAAGCACTTATACTTTGGTATGGCAAAACGTAATACATTTGTTACAAATGGTATAAACATTTTACATTTGGTACCCATGGAAATCAATACATGATACCAAGAGCAAGATTATCTTACTCTTGATGATACCTAACAAGGCACTAAACAATAGTAATCGTTACAAGGGCTGCATAACATGTACAAACAAAAAGTCACAACTCAGCACTGCATTTAGGCATAACTGATTGCACTAGCTATTTTTATAAAATTTGCTGTTGTAGAATATGTAGTAATCAAACTGTGTATACGTATAGGCAAAAACAGCCAGATGATTACCCTCTATTAAATAAGTCTAACTGAATGCAATTATAGTAATCCACAAAATGCTACCGGCAGACGATTGTGATAAGTTGAGGAAGAGCAAGCCTATGAATCTGCATTGTTCGACTCATCACTTATTGCTGTAGGTGCTGATGGCTTCTTTGTCTTTCTTTGCTTGCTCTTCTTATTTTCACGCAGCATTTCATTTGTAGCCGTCTCCGCGTCACAAAGACCATTTATGCGGTCGAGCTACAGACAAGAAATCAATGAGTACCTGTTAAATACTAGACGTCTCTAAAATCTGAGTATATGACAGTATTATACTGCTGCTGCAGGCATCGCTCTTACAATAACAAAACATCAATTACCTCTTTGTACTTTCTATATAAATTACTTTTCTATATTTGACAATTAGAACATTTTGCAATGACTACATCTGTGAACCGTGTGTATGACAATCTATATATAATGCCTTATTATTGTTTAATGACTATATCATATATGTAATATTTTCAACAAAATACGATTATCAATTATAAATTTCTTACCAAGTCAGGATTCTTTCGTACGAGGAGCTTGACATCATCTGCATTAATTGTGGTCCTCTTTGCATGGCTGCAAAACAAAGCAGGAATGAAAGTTACTATTATACTTTTAATAAACACGGCAACACAGTTTATCATTTTCCTTTCAATGTTCTCCTATCTATACACACCTACCTATAGTATACATGCCACCATAAATATGATATTCATGAAATATAACCTCCAAGATAGAAATTATAAAAGCTAAAAAATGATGGTAAAAAATTAAACAAGTTCATTCGGTTGATAGACTAACATAGATCTATCTGGGTTAATTGTTACTCAACCATGATGGTTGAAAACGTACAGCTGACGTTTCACCTCTTATCAGAAGGCTTTCTCAAAGCTGACTGATGATTATCAGTTTTGACCACCATGTGGACCAAGCTATTGCATGACCACTATACACCATCTGGTAGACAAAACTGATAATCACCAGTCAGCTTTGAGAAAGCCTCCTGATAGGAGGCGAAACGTCAGCTGTACGTTTTCAAGCTTCACGGTTGTGTAACAATTAACCCAGATAGATCGATGGTAAAAAATGTGAAGGCTGCACTTTGTGCTCTGCACGTTTTAGTAGGGACCCTGTGCATATTTTTCACCCAACCCCCCCACTCCGAGGTCTTTCAACAGATGAGCGGAAATCTTTCGTGCCATTTGATTCTGTAGCGCGTAGCTGTACATACTTGGCAAACAGTTCCAGATCGACAGCAAACGACTGTGCCTGCTGGCATACTGCTTCAGAAAAGAGTGGCAATAATTTCCTGGTAAAGGTGACATCATTCTCTTCTGCGAATTTCTCACATATCTTTCCGACCGTGTAATGGAACGCGGCTTTCAGTCGCTGAAACATTTAAAACACGATAGTCGATACAAAAAAAGTCCAGTAATTATATTATTATGACATTGTGCATTATCGATCGCATAATAGACGTCTAGGTGCATACAGCCGGTGGGTTTAAGTGGTATATTGTGAAAATTATCTGGTAAACAAAGTATAACAAATAACAAACTACTAAAAACCTGTGATAAGCAAGAGACTCGTAATCTTCCCTGGACGTCATGACCATCCATTGCTACTGTATTTCCCGCGCTATAGCAGCGCGACATCTATTGTATCAAAAAGTAACATAGCCAGAGCCCATAGTGAGTCAAGGGCTATACGGAGACGTGGAACCAGTCTACAGCGTAGGCGTGCGACCGAAGCGCCCAATCGTACTTATCGAATCTCGTATGTCAAACACATATGTTCCTCAGTTTCACGCTGACGCTGTGTCAAGAAACAACAGATTTTATTTAGTGTCGTGAACACCCGTACGATACCCTTTCAGTTTATAATCCTGGATAACTAACCATTTAGTTTGATAAGTTACCTCCTAAATACCTGCACGTGGTACTGTTTACAGTGTTAACTTGTAAGTTGTACTTGTAAGTTGTACACCTGCTATTCAGACTTGTATGTAAGTTACATGGATACATATACTGTAGGCAGTGGGCTACGTACGCGCCCATGGCGTAACTCCTTAATGGTCTCGATGGCTAGGGTAGAGCCAGTCCAGTATGCCTTCATACTTAACGCAGACAGCAAGATGCTGGCGGTGGCGAGATTATTTCGATAACGCCTTGGGAAATATAATTCACGATTTGAGAGTTTAATGAGCTAGAACCCTAACCGATTAACCCTAAACCTAACCCTAACCATAATCCTAAACTAACCCTAACCCTAAATCCTAACCCTAACCCTCAACCCATAACCGACAAAAAGGGGCTGAACGAACGACGGCTGGCGTACCTTCAGCCACTGCGAATAAGTAACCCAAAAGGACAGGGTCTATCCTGTGTTGGGCTACCATTATTGTATCAAGACTAATAATATCCTCTTGATTGTATCCTATACAACTCTAGTAGCACCTGACACTCAACCGTAGACGAGGTTCGTAACCAGTCTTTTTTTTACCCCAACCACTCCAACTGTAAATACTCAATCTATAACCCAGCGATGTCACATAATTCAAACGCAATTCTAATACTTATCCTCTCACTCCCTGCCACTACTCCACTCACTCCCCACCTCCAGCTAAGTCGTACGTACTCACCCCCGCCTCCAACCCACCGCGCTCACCTTCCCGCCTCACGCGCGTTCTCCCCAGACACACCCGCCAATCCGTCGACCCCCCCCCTCCCACCCCCCCCACCCCCCCCCCTCCCCCAGCCTGGCGCCTCCCGCGCCCCCCCGACTCACACCTCCCCCTCACTACGTACCTCCCACACACGTCCAGTCATCCACCCCTCCCCCAGCTCAAGTAGTCCCCACTCCAACGACCCTCTCCCACATCAACTCTCATACCTCAACCATCTCGCAAACACGTACGCTGTCACTCGCCTCGCCCCGCTCGCTCACCACCTCGCACCACCATCCCGCAACGCTCCGACACTCACACCTACCACACCACCCACGCGCACCCCCCCCCGCTCCTCACCACGGACACATACGACAACCCCACTCGCGCCCTACACCCAACTCACACACACAATCGCCCCTCTCCTCACACCCACCCTCCACACTCCACAACCCTATCACCCCATACCTCTCACCTCACTCACTCATACATCAGGCTCTCCACTCGCGCTCTCTCGCGCGATTACGGTTCACCCTCCGCCTCAGCGCTCACGCGGCTCTCACGGCCCCCACAACTCTGCGCTCCCTCTCTCCACCTTCGGGCACCATCCGTCTCACTCTACTACTTCACACACTTCCCGGCCTCAATAACCCCCGCTCAACCCCCCCCCTCAGCGCCACTCTACCTCTTCCCACTCAACTCATCCCACACTTACCTCACTCAACTCACCTAATACCCTCCACACATCACCACTCGCGCTAACTCGCACTCTACTCCACTATCTCCAGCTCCCACTCTGCACACACGAGCACACACCACACGCCGCTATCACCTACTAGTACCACACTCCACCCCCACACCAACATCCCCACACGACACACGCGCACATCGACACCACCACGCCCCGCCACCTCAAACACACACTCGCACCCGCCGCCGCCACACACAACCTCCCCGGCCCCCCCCCGTCCTCCCACTTTCTTCGCCCGGCGCCTTCGTCACCATCGGACGAGCCCGCTCCACGCTGCACCTGCTCGCTGCCTCATCCCGCCCTGCTCACCCCGCCACTCTAGCGCCCTCCACGCGCGCTCTCACCGCGCGCTCTCCACCGCGCCCAGCACACCACTCACACGCGACAGTCCTAGCCCACCACACGCGCACACGATCACCGACACTCGTCGCACACTCTATCTCACGCTATCCCCCACACACAGCGCACACTTCCGAGCAAGCCGCTCACAGCGCCCCGAGCACACCTGAACTACTGGACCCGCACACCCCCCCCATCCCCCGCTCAACGGCCCCTCCCCCACACACTCACCCCCCTACCACCCGCCCGCCCCGGGCCGCAATCCTCGCCCCCCCTCCCCCCTCCCCCCGCGCCCACCCCCCCCCCTCCGCCTCTCCCCCTCGCACCCCCCCCCCTCCCCCACCTCCCCCCACCCTCCCCCCCCCCCCCCCCCCGTGCGACCCAACGCCTCTCACGCGCGTCCGCCCCTCACTGTACTCCCCAGGGCTAACCTCCCCGCCCCCAGACACCCCGCCCTACCGACTGCCGGCCGTACCGCGCTAAGGCTCATCCCCGGAACGCTACCGCTGGGTACTCCCAGCATCTGACTCATCCTCAATCACTGCCCCAGTTCACCCCGCTCCCACACCCCCCCTCGCCACACTCACCAACCCTCCCTCCACACCACCGCAGCCACCCTCACGCGCGACGCTCGACCCATCCCCCCGCCCCCCCCCCACTCACACCCCTAACCTAATCCTCCAACCCACCCCTCACCCCACACCCCCCCACACTCCACCACTCACATCTCACACCCCCCCCCTACCCGCCACTCCACGACTCACGCTCCCACCACCCACCACGCGCGCCAACAGTTACACGGTATCCCACCCACCCCCCACACACCCCTCCCGCCCGCCCCCCACCACGCTCCCCCCCCCAGCCGGCATACGCTTCACCGGCCCACCCACGCTACCCCCCCCCCCCCCCATCGCGCGCACCATCAGACGCCTCCACTCACGCACCGCACACACGCTCCGACACCACCCACACACACCCAACTCTCACTGCGCCTGTGACCCTACCGCCCCACCTCAGCCTGCCCCATTCTCGCCCAACCAACCGCGCCGCTACACCCCTCACCACCCTCGCGCATCTTCACCCCCCCCCACACGCACACCGGCCCTCACAGACCACTCGGCTCCACCGCTCCCCTACCCCGCACGCCTCTCCACCCCCCCCTCTGCTATTCCTCCCCCCGCATTCACTCTCCCACACCCGCCACTACCGCCCTGGCGACCCCTCACGACACGCAACACCTACCTCAGCACGATCCCCAGCACAATCCCACAGCTCACCCTTACTCCACCCCCCAGTCCCCCTGCCACGCTGTCCTTCACCCCTCGGCATCCGAAGAGCCCGACATCCCTGCACTCCACCCCACCCAGCCCGCTCACGCCCCAGCCCTACCTACCACACTACCCCCACTCTCTCAGTCCCTACCCACTCACCCCCCCACGTCCCAGCTCCCTAACCCGCTCAAGCCCCTATACCTCATCTGCCCCTCCGCGTCACAGCTCCTGCCCGAACACCGCCGGCCTCACCTACTCCCTAGCACCCCTCCCTCCCACCTCTCACGCACATCGCTCCACGGCCACCCCCACCCTCAACATCTCACCCCAGCGCTCCCTCCCCCCGCACTATACACACGCATCTCGCTCGCTCGCGCCCACACATCTACCACCCCTCCGCCCTCCTCTCCCACCCTCCACCTCAACTGCACACTCATCTATCATCCCCACAAAAGCTTATAATACACACTCAACTCCACAAATTCTCCCCACCACTCTCAACTCTTACTTCCGCACACATAGCGCTATCACATCTGCCGGCTCTTCCTCCCTCTCTGTCCCGAGCAACCACACACAATCATCTACAACCCCGCCAACACCTCCCGAAAACCGGCACCGGCATTTTGGGTGGTGAAATCGCAGCAGCGCACCGTCCCCCACCGCTGGCGATTGGTTAACTCACCTCAAATCTCGCTCACACTCGAACTACCCCTCAGTCCCTCCATCACCTACCGAGACATCGACGCGCCCAAACCCCCCCCCCCCCCCCCCAACTTGTACACGAAAGTGCTACTACCGTAAATCAGACCTCCACAAATGCTACCAAGTACCGCTCTCCGCCACGGGCAAATACCCCAAGGACGCTCGCCCGGCTCCGCCCGAGTCTTTAACCTCCACCTCTCGCCCCTCCCCAGCTGCCTACGTCACCTATAGCCTCGCTTCTCCCACCCCACTATGCCACCACGCTCAGTACCGCCGCACACCGACACCACCCACGTCACGTCACTAAAGGCTCAACTAACTGTCCATAATGTCTCGCATGTGCCTCGCACTCGACTGCTCATACAGCAAATTCTTGCATTGCTTCTGCCGCTATAGACAGACTCTCCTCTCGGCGCCCCAATCCGGCCCTCTACACTCGTCCATTCGCTCTGACGCTCATTCCTTCTCTTCTGCCAGTGACACCCCACATTCAAAGCCAGTCACCTTTCTCGATCACGCCAGCAGTCCTTAGCTTGTTGGCAGACGAGGGGTTCTTTCCGATCATCACCCCCTGACAGTTTTACCCTAAATACTCTTGCTTGTTTGCAGCACTCACATCCCAGGTATTGAATTGAAACAATTGACTGTAAAAACCAAGTAGCATTTACTGATATATATTTATATATGTATATTTATAATATATATATATATATATATATAATATATACGTAAAGAAAAAAATATATAGAGAGAGAGAGACGAGAGAGAGGAAGCAGATGAGAGAGAGAGATAGAAGAGAGCTGAGCGTAGAAGGAAAAAGGGGATGGATAAGAAGCATGAGTGTGGAAGAAACATTAGCAGAGGTCTGACGGAGACTGGTAACTATTGCGTTTGTGAGTTTATTTTAAGTATTAGAATCTTAGTGTTATAGTTATTCGTGGCATTTTCAATTGTATATTGATGATGTTTTTCATGTGTATTATCGAAGTACAGTCAATGCAGCTTGCTCCAACTATAACGTTTTGTCAGTGGCGGCTATAGCAACTTCCAGGATTTTTTTAACACGGGGGGGGCGGAGGAGCCAAACATGAACTGCGCAAAATAGTATGATATACGTTTAATATTTTACTGGTTCTCCCCCTCTCCACACCGCTACACTCCCCCAACCTCTCAGCTTCTGCAGATCTTTGTGTTTGGAGCGCATGCAAAAAGTGCCACATTTCTGTTCGTTG